CCTACGGGCTGCCCACGCCCCCGGAAATGTCACCCTTGGACGTGCTGGAGCCGGAGCAGACCTTCTTCTCCTCCCCCTGCCAGGAGGAGCATGCGCACTCCCACCGCATCCCGCACCTGCCCCGGCCCCCTTACTCCCCGGAGTACGCCCCCAGCCCTCTGCACTGCCGCCACCTGGCCCTCGGCCAGTCCCCGGGCGTCTCTATGATGTCCACTGTCCCGGGCTGTCCCCCGTCCCCTGCCTATTACTCCCCCGCCACCTACCACTCTCTCCACTCCAACCTGCACGCCCACCTGGGTCAGCTCTCCCCGCCTCCGGAGCACCCCGGCTTTGACGCGCTGGATCAGCTGAGCCAGGTGGAACTCCTGGGGGACATGGATCGCAATGAGTTTGACCAGTATTTGAACACTCCTGGCCACCCAGACTCTGCTGCAGGGGCCGTGGCCCTCAGTGGGCACACCCCCGCCTCGCAGATGACACCCACGGGCCCCACAGAGACCAGCCTCATCTCGGTGCTGGCTGATGCCACGGCCACGTACTACAACAGCTACAGCGTCTCATAGAGCCGGAGGCCCGCCCAGCCCTGCCTCCGCCCAGCCCTGCCTCCGCGCCTGGGCACGGAGCCTATGGACCTGCGACCTGCACATCTGCACCGAGGGACTCTCAGCGAACCGGCTCTGCAGATCCCAGTACCCTCTCCATCCTCTTCCTCCCCGGCCCCAATCCCCTCCGCCTGCATTTTGAGTATATTCCTTCAAATGAGTTGTCATTGCCTACACCTGGGAATAAGGCCAGGGCGTTTTTTGAAAGACACAGGTTCCAGGTAGAATTTTCACGGACCTCTCCTCCCGGTTCCCATCTCAGAAATAACTGTGTAAAAAGCCCAGCAGCATTCCCACCTGGGAGCCGTGGGCTGGGATCCAGACACCCAGGATCAGCAGAGGTTCTGGTGACACCCTGACTGGCCTCTCCTTCCCTTCCAGCCTGCTCCCCACCCCCATCTGCAAAGTGGGGGACAGACTTATCACCCAAGGTCCCTTCTGCTCCAGGGTTTTCTGATTTAGGATTCTCTCACGGCTAAAAGGAAAATAAAGGTGGCCCAGGAAGCTCGTTAAGGTGTAATCTGGGATAATTTCGTGTGCACAGCCCAAGGACACAGGGCTTTCTGTACTTGCACTGCCTTCCAAAATGATCCTACTTGTCAATTTTCCTTCCAATTTGAGAAAAAAAACACACACACTCATCTTGATTTGGGGAATTAACCACTAGTATAGACTGAATCACTGAACATGAGATTGTATTCAAGCTGCATTTTTAAAAATATATTTTTTAGACAAGTTCTTTTTTCTTTTGTTACACATTTCAAGAGAATGTATACAGCCTGAATATATATAGTCAGGGTGTAAGAGATACACGACATACACACACCTTCATGCACACCCTTGCACTCATGCCTGTGTGGCCTAAATCAGATACTCTCGTTGGCAACTTTTTATCAACTCCCTCTTCCTATTGACCCAAAGAGCAAGGAACCTAAAAAGAATTTCCTCTGATCTGAATGTGTTGGTTTCTTGAGCAGAATTTCAGCACACCTTCCCTTCTGCAAATGCAAAGGGAGCTTTCTTCCCACTGTCTCCATCTCCCTCTCTCCCCTTCCTGGGATTTCTTTTTCCCTTTGCTCTTCCTCCACCCTGAATTGGCCACTAATTCAAAGGTCCCCTGACTTGAAAATTCCAAGCTCGATTCCCATGGCTGGGATGGGAATCCTTCCTGCTGGTCCTTTAGGTAACATCTTCAGACAATACTTCAAAACAGCTTCTCCTCTACACCTTCAGGGTGCTTACTTCCCAAAGAACAGAAGCCCACTGTGATTCGGAAGGTGTTTCTGAGCCCTGACCCCGCCCCCAGAACATTTCTATCCTCTCAGACCTCCTTTGAAGGAACATACCTAACAGGGAGCAAAAAGGCCATTGTTGGTCTTTTGATGTCTGCATATTATTGCCTGTATGAAATATGTAAGTGTTTTATATATTCTCTTATTTTCACCTTATATTTTGTATTGTTGAAAGTTCCTTTTTTTTCCTTCCAAGGAGTCCGATTGTAAAATCACTTATAAGATATGATTAATCTTTATGCTATTACTGTATATAATGTTTGGTAATAAATAGTAAACCATTGACAATACGATTGACTGGTGCAGTCCAGAACGTGTATCAATAATCTTGTAAAACATGATCACAGACATTAAGCTAAACTGTTCCTTTTTTTTTCTAAAAACTACACATGGTTTGGAACGGTTGTAGATATTGTTTTGTCTAAGATATTTAATTTAAATAAACCTTTTTGTACCGTGACCATTCTATCATTTGAAATCAAGTTGTGCCAAAAGAGAAATGTTTTCGAGTGAGGCAGAGATAGCATGCCCAGCGCTACTGATAGTATTGGTCCAAATGTTTTCCACGTCAACTTTTTTCTTTTTTTTAATCTAAAAAAGTTGTTATTTGTAGGGGTGGCTTACTTTATCTTTGAGTTATGGTGGAGAGATAAAGGCTGGTATTACACATTGAAAACAGCGTTGTTATTAATAATAATGAAAGAAAAGAGCAATTTATAGCCTGCTGGCAGGACAGTTTTCTCCTTAGGATGTCTTCACACTTGTAACATAGAACTGTGTGTTATCTCAAGATAGGAAGTAAGTTCTGCCCAGGTCATTGCTTACTTAAGGCTACCACAGTTTGTTTATTTATTTATTTTGAAGCAGTCTTGAAAAATACCTGGGTTGCCCTCTCCACTATGTATGTACGGATGTGGCGATAACAAAACATGTGGGCTCCCGAAATTGGATGGAATGTTGTGAGAAGGCAGGGGAGCACACGGATCAGCAATTAAAGGATGTAACCACTTGTGAGGTTTGGGATTAAAATGCCAGCCAAAAAGTGCCTGGAAAAAAACGGAGGATTACTCAGTCCTGCAGGTCACCCATGTCTGGCTTCTCTCCGTGGTGAAGCAGTTGTAACTTGTTTGAGTTGTGGGTAGTCTTGTGTTCCCCCGGGGCCCTCTGGGCCAAGGAGTGGGTCTTGGGAGAGCCCAATATGTCCCTCCTTCAATTTGGATCATAATCTATAGTCATTATGTTAATAGCACTTTATAGGTGTAGAGAGTTTTACGGCAAGTTTTATGGGCTATTTCTCATCTACAGCCCCAGGTGGGGCCTTGTCATCCATCCACCCCAGGGACACTGAGGTCCAGGGGGGGAGGTGGTGCTGTGCACCTCCCCTCCCCCTACTCGGCCAATGGGGGCTGGGGTTTCCCCCCTTGTTTTCACATACGTTGGTTGGTGGCATCAGCCTGACAGTCGAACAGCGAGGGGCTTTGTACTCCACCGTGGCATGGAATTACTGTGCATGCAGTCCAATGTGTACCTATCCCAGCCCAGGAAAGAACGAGCAAAGAGGAAATTAAGGGCCAGAAAATAGACCTGATTTGAACTCGCAGCCGCCCAGGCCCACCACGGCTGACAAGTGGCGGTTGCAGGGTCACAGTTGGCTGGAACACTCGCCCAGCAGCATCTGCCTAAGACATCGGCCCTCAACGGTGCCAAAGGGGCGTATTTCATTCCAGGACACACGGTGGGAGAGGGGGTGTTGTCCCTGCCCCTGGGAACGCAGGAAATGAGCAGGCGACAGGGCCACTCTTTCACTTTTGCCTCAGCTCTGAGTGCAACGGTGGTGCCCCGGTGACGAGAGCACTTTTTGCTTTGCCTGATAAGAATTGATGGGTATAAAGTGTTATAAGTTATTTTTCTAAAATGTAGATGTTATCATTTCACTTCTTTCCTTAAGATCCTTCAGCGCCTGCTGGCCACTGCGGCACACAGGATGAGTGCAGCGGGTGGGGTGGGGGGGGCTCATGGGAAGCCGACCAGGGTCAATCCGCCCGTCCCCTCAGGTCTGCAGGTTCCTGGGAGGCACCTGGTAATGTAGTCACATAGTCATTTGTTTTTATAAACTTTGTGAAAAGAAAGATTTCTTGGTATCCTTTCCTTTCAAAGCCTC